TGTACCTTAAGTACTTGTTCTACTTGAGTTTTAACCATGGAAGCATGTTTACTAATAAGCTTAAGATCACTTTTAACTCTAGACATATAATCACTCAAGTGTTCAACCATCTAAGCATTATGTTTAAATTGTCTACCAACATAAGCATTGAAGTTCTCTTGTTTAACAATAAAATTATCAAACTCATCCAAGCATTGACTAGCAGACTTATTATGAGGAATATCACCTTCATCAAATCTATAGAGAGAATTTACCTTTACTACCTGGGTCGGGTTATCAAGACCATGAATTTCTTCAATAGACGGTAAATTCTTAACATCTTCGACTTTAATACCTTTTTCTTTCATAGATTTCTTTGCCTCTTGCATATCTTCAGGACTGAGAAATAGAATACCTCTTTTCTTCGGAGTTGGCTTAGGAGTCGGTTCAGGAAGTGTCCAATCATTATCATTACTCAGTATATTATTCAATAGCAATTAAGCTTTCTCAACAGTTCTTTCCCTGAAAACACAACCAGCACAACTATCCAGGTGCTCCCTAGAAGTATCGGTTAGTCCATTATAAAAGATATCAAGTATTTCATTTTTCTTGAGAGGATGATCAGGCAAAGCATTAAGTAATTGGAGAAGCCTCCCCCAAGCTTGTGGGAGACTCTCTTCTTCAATTTGCACAAAGTTAAATATTTCCCGTAAGACAACTTATTTCTTATGAGCAGGAAAATATTTTGCAGAGAAGTAGTAAATCATATCCTTGGGAGTACGCACACAACTAGGAGCAAGAGAATTAAACCATATCATAGCATCACCATTTAATGAAAGAGGAAACAATTTAAGAATATAGTAATAGCCAATTTTTTCATCATGAGAAAATAGGGTGGCTATATCGTTCTATTTAGTAAGATGTGCCAGAACAATTTTAGATTCATAACCATAGAAAGGATCAGATTCAACCAAAGTAATAAACTCAGGATCGACAGATAATTCATAATCCTTATCACTAACACAAATCGGTGAAGTAGCAAACATATGATCATATTGCATTCTAGCATTCAAAGACTTTTCTTTCAGCTTAGCTAACAGTTTCTTAAGATCATCTCTATCATTGCAAGCAAGAAAGTATCTAGCAGTTTCTTCATCCATAATATAACCCTCGGTACAATAGGCAATTCATATCTAGGGGGAGAATCATAATCATCAGTTTCAATAATATCATCAGTTTCAATAATAGCATAAGTGGCATCATCAATAACATGCGACATATCAGAATCAATAGCAGGTGTAGGTGTCGCAAGTTTACTCAAAACATAAGGTGAATCAAGTGCAGAGCTAGATGGCAGTTCCTTACCTTCCCTCGTAGTAGAGGGGAAAATCTTGGTTCTAGTATGTTTCAGATTCCTCATAGTGATCAACAGATATAAATCCCAAGTGACTCAGAGAATAGAGCTATGCTCCCCGGCAACAACGCCAGAAAAAGGTCTTGATAACCCACAAGTATAGGGGATTGCAACTGTTTTCAAGAGTAGAGTATTCAACCCAAATTTATTGATTCGACACAAGGGGAGCCAAAGAATATTCGCAAGTATTAGCAGCTGAGTTGTCAATTCAACCACACCTGAAAGACTTATTATCTGCAGCAAAGTAGTATGGAAGTAACAGTAACAATGGCAAAAGTAACAGTAGCAGTTTTGTAGCAATTGTAACAGTGGCAACGGAAAAGTAACTAAGCAAAGATCAATATGAAACAAGCTCGTAGGTAATGGATCAATGATGGATAATATTGTCGGATGGCATTCATCATGCGACAGTTATAACATAGGGTGACACAGAACTAGCTCCAATTCATCAATATAATGTAGGCATGTATTCCGAATATAGTCATACGTGCTTATGGAAAAGAACTTGCATGGCATCTCTTATCCTACCCTCCCGTGGCAGCGGGATCCTATTGGAAACTAAGAGATATTAAGGCCTCCTTTTAATAGGGTACGGGACCAAGGCATTAGCACTTAGTGAATACATAAATTCCTCAAACTACGATCATCACCGGGAAGTGTCCCGAATATTGTCACTCCGGGTTTACCGCATCATAACACGTAGTAGGTGACTATAACTTGCAAGATAGGATCAAGAACACTCATATATTTATGAAAATATAATAGGTTCAGATCTGAAATCATGGCACTCGGGCCCTAATGACAAGCATTAGCCATAGCAAAGTCATAACAACATCAATCCTAGAACATAATGGATACTAGGGATCAAACCCTAACAAAACTAACTCGGTTACATGGTAAATCTCATCCAACCCATCACCATCCAGCAAGCCTATGAGGGGATTACTCACGCACGGCAGTGAGCATCATGAAATTGGTGATAGAGGATGGTTGATGACGATGGCGACGGATTCCCCTCTCCGGAGTCCCGAACGGACTCCAGATCTGCCCTCCCGAGGAAGAACAGGGCTTGGTGGCTACTCTGTATCGTAAAACGCGATAATCCTTCTCTCTTTGATTTTTTTTCTGCCCGAACGTGAATATATGGAGTTGGAGTTGAGGTCGGTGGAGGTCCAAGGGGCCCACAAGGATAGAGGGTGTCCCCCACCCTTGTGTCCAGGGTGTGGGCCCCCTTCAGTTGATTCTTTTGCCAATATATTTTATTTATTCCAAATTTTATCTCCGTGAAATTTCAGGTCATTCTGTGAACTTTTGTTTCTGCACAAAAATAACACCATGGAAATTCTGCTGAAAACAATGTCAGTCCGGGTTAGTTCCATTCAAATCATGCAAATTAGAGTCCAAAACAAGGGTAAAATAGTTTGGAAAAGTACATACGATTGTGACGTATCACTGTACGTCCCTTCGGGCAGTAGCGTTGTCGCCCGCGTCTAGCAGCCGCCGTGAGGTCTTCCCATCGTCGCCCCAGCCCGCCTGCTACCGCCACGTCGTCCCTTTGGGTCGTGGCACCGCGGCCCGCGGTCCACCGCCGTCCCCGCGCGTCAACCTCCCGTTGTATGCGTTGCACCGCCTCCTTTGGCGCGGGAACGCCACCATCCGCGCCGGTCTTCGTCACGCTGTCGGGTTCCTCACATACTTCAAACATCGCCGCCGCGCTCCTAACCTAGCCGCCGCCATCGCTCTTCTTCGGTCACCGCTGCTGCTACCCCCGTAGCCGCCGCCACCGCCCGTCCACCCCCTTCATCTTCATCCAGCACCAACCCGTCGCCAGCGACGCCGTTGTCTACCCCGACCACTTTGTCTACTCCAACCACCGTTGGTGACATCGGCCCCGCGCCGATAGACGCCGCAATCATTGTCGAGTTCTTCTCTGCTAGCCCCTCTGACTTCTCCGACGTGGCGTACAGCTCATGTAGGTCCCCGTCTACATATACCCGGTGCTGGCAAAACCGATGCGTGCCTTCGTCCACGACGTGTCCCCAGGCCTGGCAAGCCTGGAGCGGCGCTTCGTCAACTTCGTCTTTGTCCGTCTATGCATCCCTGATGCTGGTAACACCGATGCGTGCCTTCATCCACGATGTGTCTCTGGGCTTGGCAAACCCACTGTGACATGTCGTCAATAACGTCTTCTTCCCGGCACACCACTACTTCAACACCACTGCGCCCATGACTAACTCGACGCCTCCTTGCGCCCGCAGCTCCACGGTGACTTCCTTGACAACGGCCACCCCGACTCGACATCGACCGCGACATTCTTCGCACGGCTACCTCGACCACGGATACACCACCCTATGCTATCGCCTTGCTTGACCGCGAGGTAGCGGCACCGGTAGATTTACATTTTTTTTCTAGTCGTTCGTGTCTGGGCCAAATTTTGGGATATAACCTCTTTCCTCCCGTTGGGGTTCATGGCGGTAGGGTATAATTGCCTACCGCTGAGGCCCCTGACAGTAGGGGTGACGGTAGAGACATATGACCGTTGATCATTGCTGACATGGATACCGCCAGACAGGACGGCGGTAGATTGTTATCCCCCCCCCCCTTACCGGTCGAACCCTACCGCCGAGGTCAATGGCGGTAGGGTATAACAGCCTACCATCGGGAGCCTCTGCAGTAGGGTTGATGGCAGAGGCGGCAAGCGTTTATCTATGCTGACATGAATAAGTTTTCCACCACCGGGGGCCTTTTCTACCGCCAGGGCCCCCGCCTTTTCTAACATCAGGGCCCCGACGGTAGGCTATTATACCTTACCACCATCAACCTCGGTGGTAGAAAACATGGTCAGGTGCTGAAATTTTATCAAGTCAGGGTCAGATCCGACTCAACTTTCACAAAAATTGAAAACACCAGGTTCGTCATCGTGTCGGCGGGCTTCCAGCTTCGCGTAATCATGATTCCTTGATTGAATTAACCTCTCCTGTCCTCCACCTCAACTGTGCCTGCATCCTCCACCTCGGAGGTCGATGGTGGTAGGGTAGCGGTAGGGTCGACGGCTGAGGCAGCAAGCGTTTAGCAGCGCTGACGTGGATAAGTCTTCTACCATTAGGGCCCCTGGCGGTAGGCCATTATACCTTACCGTCATCAACTCCGACCGTAGGAAAAATGACCGAATCTCGAAATTTTACCAAACGTCAGATCTGACTCAATTTTCGCAAAAGATTCAAGACATCAAATTCGTCCTCGTGTGGGCGCTTCCAGCTTCGCGCAACCATGATGACTTCATCATTGAATTAACCTCTCTTGGCCTCCACCTCAACTGTGACTGCATCCTCCACCTCGGAGCTGTGGCATGTCACATGTGGCTGTGTTTATGTTTCCCGCCGATGAGGCAATGTACGTCTGTCCACTGATTTGCGCGGCCATCACACCTACCACGGCTGGCTCGGTGGCTCCACAAACGGCCACGCGCGGCTGCCAAGTGCCAAGGACGCCGCCAGCATGTACAAATATCCCACTCTCTCCTCCACTCCGCCAGGCAGCGGTGCACCTCGGCACGCCAAGTCCGCATTGATATCTCTCCGTCCGTCGTCTTCTCGCCGCCCGCAAGATGACGGCCCAGAACGGCCACGGCGACCTCGCAAGGAAGCCGGTCGTCGTCATCTACGCGCCGCCGGGGATGGCGGGCCACCTGGTCCCCACGGTGGAGCTCGGCAAGCTGCTCCTGGCGCAGGGCCTCCAGGTCACCGTCCTCCTCGGCGGGGGCGATACGTCGTTCCTCGACGGCGTCGCCGCCGCCAACCTGGAGATGTCCTTCCACTGCCTGCCCCCGGCCGTGCTCGCCCCCGACGTGGCCGCCGCCTGCAGCAGCAGCTTCGAGGCAAGGGTCTTCGAGCTCGCGCGCGCCTCCAACCCGGACCTGCGCGACTTCCTCCGCTCCGCCCGCCCGGCCGCCCTCCTCATCGACTTCTTCTGCAGCGCCGCCCTCGACGTCGGCACCGAGCTCGGCGTGCCCAGCTACTTCTTCCTCACCACCTGCATCGCCAGCGTCGCCCTCTGTCTCTACCAGCCCGTCATCCACGAGGGGACCAGCCTCAGCTTCCGGGACATGGGCGGCGACCCCGTGCACTCCCCGGGTCTGCCGCCGATCCCGGCGGATCACCTCGCCGCGGCCGTCATGGATCGCGAGAGCCTGAGCAACAAGCACTTCTTGGAGCTGTCTAAAAGGATGTGCGACTCACGGGGCGTCCTCGTCAACAGCTGCCGCTCCTTGGAAACCCGCGCCGTCGACGCCATCATCTCCGGCCTCTGTACTCCGCCCGGGCTTCCAACGCCGCCGCTGTACTGCATCGGGCCGCTGATAAAGCCCGACGAGGAGACCGGGACGACGAAGCGCCACGAGTGCCTCGCGTGGCTCGACGGCCAGCCCGAGGCCAGCGTAGTGTTCCTCTGCTTCGGCAGCATGGGCCGGTTCTGCGCGGAACAGGTCAAGGAGATGGCGGCGGGGCTGGAGGCGAGCGGGCAGCGGTTCCTGTGGGTCGTGCGGCGCCCGCCCCCGCCAGGCGCCGAGCGCCGGCCGCCGGCCGACGGCGACGACGACGGCCTCGACCTGGACACGCTCTTCCCGGAAGGCTTCCTGAAGCGGACCAAGGACAGGGGCCTGGTGGTCATGTCCTGGGCGCCGCAGCGGCAGGTGCTGGCGCACGGCGCCGTCGGCGGTTTCGTGACGCACTGCGGCTGGAACTCGGTGCTGGAAGCCGTCGCGGCGGGCGTGCCGATGCTGGCGTGGCCGCTGTACGCGGAGCAGCGCATGAACAGAGTATTCCTCGTCGAGGAGATGCGGCTGGCCGTGCCGATGGAAGGGTACGACAAGAAGATCGTCGAGTCCAATGAGGTGGCGGCGAAGGTGCGGTGGCTGATCGAGTCGGACGGCGGGAGTGAGCTCCGGCAGCGGACGCAAGCGGCCATGCGGCTGGCGGAGGAGGCGCTGGGCGACGGCGGGGAGTCCAGGACCGCGCTGGCGGATCTAACGAGGCAGTGGAAGAAAAGCGCCGCCGACGACGACAGCTGATCGAAGAGTTCGTTCGTTGACCCGGCGGCTTTGGTTTCGAACTTCACGTGGGCGAGGTGCCGTGCATCCATGCACGTCAATAATACTGCACACACGGACTTTTACAGACTTCTTACATGTTGATCTTGGACCGATTAGTACAGTAGCACTGGATCACGTGCTACATGATGATGTACAATAATTTATTTATCAGATTTGCTATTTCACATCTAGATGTGAAATAGCTATCTCACATCTAAGTCTATAGCCATTGAATGTTCTCCTATCTTTAACATTCGCATGTACGTTTTCTGTCACGCTTCCTTGGATTTGCCCTGGTCGCTGGTGCTTTCGTTGTCCGCCCAGCAAAGAAAGCTCGCGCCCCAGCCAGCTTGTCATCTTACAGTTCGTGCTAAGTAAAGGGACGCACCCTACTTGAAGCGGATCGAGCCATTTCTTTCCTTTTGTTTTGTCTTGATTTTCTTTTTTCATATCCATTTTTTCATTATTTTTTGAATTTGTTTCTTCGTTTTTTCTTTGGTTCATTTGTGTTTCTTTTTTCTTTTTGCTTTTTTGGGCTTTTCTTCGTTTTTGTTTGATTTTATTTTTCTTCTTCATTTTTTGTTTTCATTTTTTAATGTTTGTTTTTGTTATTAATCTACATTTTCGTTTATGTCAAACCATATTTTAATAAGTGACCAGCATTTTTTATATACATGTTCAACATTGTCCGAATGTTTATTCAACATTTTTCAAATACTTGTTCAACCTTTTATTACTCGTTCAACACTTTATAAATACTCGTTCAACATTTTTTGTATACATGTTCAACATTGTCCGAATGCTTATTCAACATTTTTCAAATACTCGTTCAACTCTTTTTAAATACTCGTTCAACATTTTCAAATACTTTTTCAACATTTTCAACTTGAGGGGTGTTTTTTTTTTGTTGTTTCAATGGAGGTTGCAATTAGACCCTCGACCTGCAACTAGGGGTTTCTGTCGGCCCAGTTGCAAGTCCACCCTTGACTCGCAACTCGGGGGTGTAGTTTTTATAGTTGCCCTAGTTGCAAGTCCACCCTCGACTTGCAACTCGAGGGGTGTTGTCTTTTATTTTTGTTTCATGGTAGTTGCAATTAGACCTCGATCTGCAACTAGGGGTTTCTGTCGGCCTAGTTGCAAGTCCACCCTCTACTTGGAACTCGGAGGTGTAGTTTTTATAGTTGCCCTAGTTGCAAGTCCACCCTCGACTTGCAACTCAAGGGGTGTTGTCTTTTGTTTTTGTTTCATGGTAGTTGCAATTAGACCCTTGACCTGCAACTAGGGGTTTCTGTCGGCCCAGTTGCAAGTCCACCTTCTACTTGCAACTCGGGGGTGTAGTTTTTATAGTTGTCCTAGTTGCAAGTCCACCCTTGACTCACAATTCGAGGGGTGTTGTCTTTTCTCCTTGTTTCATGGTAGTTGCAATTAGACCCTTGACCTGCAACTAGGGGTTTCTGTCGGCCGAGTTGCAAGTCCATCCTCGACTCGCAACTCGGAGGATGGGTGTTGTTTGCGTTCACCCCCAGTTGCAAGTCAACCATGTACTCGCAACTCGGGATGTAGTTTTCTAATTGCCCCAGTTGCGAGTCCACCACCGACTCGCAACTCGAGGGATGTAGTTTGTAATCACCCAGATGCAAGTCCACCACCGACTCGCAACTCGGGGGATGTAGTTTGTAATCGCCCCAGTTGCAAGTCCAC